ACAGTAGAAAAGAATTTGAGGTATCAGCTTACAGTTGGGTGAAGCTCATGATTCATGAGAGGATGATCAGTCTTCTGGTAATCCTAAGTGGATTATAGGCGTTCCTTCGCTATTGGCAGTTTCCCCATTTTTCTCTATTTTGAACCTCTCTCAACCACATAATTCCATACAGCAGTTCAAAAATAAAAAGATTAGTAGTTAAAAAAACGGGATTTAAGTAAACTAGGGAGAAACTATACTAAATAAATGCGGAAAACAATTTAAGTATTATTTCGGTTAATTTAAGCGAGCAGAATAAAGATTAAAAAGGATATCCCATTTTCTTCTATAAGCGGTATCGTTTTAATTGTGAGATGTCAAATTTTCGAGTGCAGTTCCCACCTTCCCCTCCTCCTCTTCGTTTCCTACGCTTCTACCCTCATGCCTCCTTCCCCTTATCTCCTGGTTTTTTTGGGAGTGAGTGCGAAGCACAGAACTGTTGTGTTTCAGTATACGGTGAATGATGCTTGGAGGGAGTTGATGGAGCTTTATGCGAGCATCAGACCTTACAAAATACGTCACAAACGGCGATTCATCGTCGACAGCAGTGCTGGTTTTGTTGATGCTGATATCCAGGAGCTGGCTATTGCAACTCAGTTTCAATGCGGTGTGGATTTCTTTCTCTTTTTTTGGAGCGAACAAGTAAACCATTAATTCTAAAGTTACGGAATGCGTGTCAGGCAGGATGATAATTAGGCTTTTTTTTGCGTCTGAGAGACGTCTTTACGTTTTTATTTTTTCTATTATTTATATCGAAATATATTAGCTTAGTTATTGAAGGGAAGTCTGATTTTTTCTTAGTTTAGACTCGTAAATCAAATAAATAGTTTTTACTGCAGCGATTGAACTGTGCGCGCCAATGCCAAGTAACTGCCCACCAGGACCACGTGGACCAAAAGGCGAGAGAGGCGAGCCAGGAGGTTAGTGTTTACTTACTTACTTTGTTTGCTTTACCTATCAGTTCCCTTATGGTATTGGGCTTTAAGATGTCCACTACC